AATAAAAAAAGGAGTGCATTGGGGATGCGTCCTGTCTCCATACCATTTCAATCTGTGTGCAAAACAGCTCATATGGGAGGCTGGCTTTATGAGGAGGAATGTGGCATCAGGATTGGGGGAAGACTCATCAACCACCCGTGTTATGCAGATGACACAACCTTGCTTGTGGAAACCGAGGAGGACTGTAGTCTTAAGTCTGGCTTGAAACTCAACATCAAGAAGACAAAGATTCTCCCAGTGGGCCAACTGGCAGCTTCATGAAGAGATGGAGAAGATATTGAGGTTGTTAACAGTTACATTGCTTAGCTCCACAATCAACACTGTTGGCACCAGCAGTCAGGAAGTCAAAAGACAAATTGCATTGGGAAAATCTGCTGTCAGGGACCTTTCCAGAGTGCTCAAGAGCAATGATGTCAGTCTAGATACAAAGGTGTACCTAATCCAGGCCATAGTCTTCTCAATTACGTGCTGTGCATCAAAGAGCTGGACAGTGACTAAGAATGACAGAAGAATGGATGCCTTTGAGTTGTGGTTCTGGAAAAGAGTCTTGAACATACCATGGACTGCCAAGAAAACAAAGAGGTCTGTCTTGGAGAGGGTAAAATCAAGTTTCTCCTTGGAAGCTAGGATTTTGAAGCTCCATCTCACACACATTGGGCACATGGCCAGGAGGTACTGGTCCTTGGAGAAGGACATCACGCTTGGAAGGGCCCAGGAACAGTGCAGGAGAGGGAGATCCCAAATGAGATGGATTGATACATTAACTGGGGCAGTGGGGGTAGGTGTGTCAGAGTCAAGTGAGACTGGCTCAGGACAGGGCAGGTTTCAGAGCCATTGTATATAGGGTCAATATAAGTTGTAGGCAACTCAATGGCACGTAACAACAGTAACAGCAACAACGTCTTCCAGCCTCATCCAGGTTGTGTTGTGTTTTACGTGTGCATTGTTTTTCAGTGCTGTGTAATACTCCATTGTGTGAATGTTCCATCCTTTCTCTATCCATTCATTTGTTGATAGGCACTTGGGCTGCTTCCATCTCTTTGCTATTGTGAATAATGTTATAAACACAGTGTACACATAGCTGTTTGTGTCACAGTTCTGATTTCTTTGGGGTATCTTCCAGATAGTAGGGGCTGGGTCCGTTTCCAACTTTTTGAGGAAGGGCCAGACCACCTACCATAGTGATTGTACCATTTTGTATTTCCACCAGCAGTGATTAAGGTTCCAATCTCTCCACACCCTCACCAACATTTGTTGCTTGCTGGCCTGTTGAACTTTGCCATTGCTATTGTTGCTGAGATGAGATGATATTTCACAGTTGTTTTGCTTTGCATCTCTCTGAGAGCTAGGGATTTTGAGCAGTTTTTCACATGTTTGCTGGCCATCTGGCCACCTTTGGTTATTTTAAGATTGGGCTGTTTGCCTATTTCTTGTTGCAGAACTGGACTATTCTATGAATTTTAGTTATGAGTCCCTTATCAGATATGTCATTGGAGGGCAACTGCTTTTAATGACACAGAATTCATTATTGGGGCAAAGGAAGCAATATTTGCTTAAGTAGGGCCTACAGTTAGTGTTTTGCCATCATCAAAATCAAATACAAATGTTCCTTGGTCACTCCTGATTTGTAATGTGATGTGATGTATTTCATCTTTCAACGTGTCTCTTAACCCAGATGGAAAGAAAATGTTATTTTTTTGGGGGGACACAAATGTTAAAAGCCCTCAGTTGTCAAGTTGATCCTGAAGCTTAATGACTCTGCAGGGCAGAGGAGAACTGTCCTGTGGAGTCTCCAGGGCTGGAATCTTTACAGAAAGGAGCCTTGGTGTTGTAGTTTATTACGTGCTAATTGAAAGGCCTGTGGTTTGACTCTACCAGCTACTCGAAGAGAGAGCGATGAGCAGTCTCTTCTCCTTAAGATTCCAGCCTTGGAAACCTGATGGAGAGTCACTGGGAGTCAGAATCTACTTGAAGGCAGTGGGTTTGGCTTGCTTTGGATTTGGGTTTTAATATTGATGGTAGCAAACTGGCACATCTTTCTCCTGCAGGGCGACTGGCAGGTTCAAACTGCTCGCCTTTCAACATGGCTCCGATTGTTGTTAGGTGCTGTGGGTTTGGCTCCTGTGTACAGCCAAGCTAAGGGGCGTGCCAGATACTAATGCCAGGCCTGGAGCACATGGTTTCAAATGAGCATACTCGATGCTTGGTGTTAGATTTTGTGCACTCGATACTTGTCTCTTAGCATGCCGTTACAGTGCAAATGAATCCCTTCCAAGTTTAGGTTTGGAAGAACTGCAGAGTTAAGTGGATTTTTCCCCCCTTTCAATCTGGAAATTCCTTTGCACTTTTATCAGGGTCTGAAGAACACAGCTGGCAGGGTGGTTAGAGCTTGGAAAAGAAAGTCACTGCAAATGTGGGAGCGAGCCGCGAACACACGCCTTGTTTTAACTTACACAGTCCTGGCAGTGCAGAAAGCCACTTGGCATCACTTGTGATGTGAGTGGCATTGGTTGCTTTTTGAGGTGGCTTTTCCAGAAGTTAAATCTCGTACGTAAATATCTCTTTCGCCTGGTAACTGGAGGTTGAGAGCATTTAGGAACATTATGGATCCGCAGACAGAGCTCCTTCCCAGAGCAGGGCGTGCTAAGTAGATACAAGCCATGCCCGTCTCTTCAGCGGATGGCTGGGCGGACACAGCCCATTCTGGTTTAATGCTTAGTCAATCAGAAAACGTGTCTCTCCCCATCTATGTTTGTGGAGAGGTTAGTTCTGGGTCAGGAGGAGATTTGGTTTTAGTAACTCCACCCACCCCCATCAAAGTGCCCTCAAGGGACCACTGGGGAGAGCCATGCCTGGGAGCTCTCTGCTGTTTTGTACCGCCAAGTCAGAACTGACCTATAGCTGACCCTCCAGTGGGTTTTCGGAGACAGTTAATCGCATGGGATGAGAGTGCCCATCTTTCTCCTGCAGAGCAGCTGGTGGATTCGAACTGCATCCCTTTGGGATTGCATTGTAGCTTCTTACCCAGCATTCCAGACCGTACACTCTGGGCTTACTGAGCCAGTGTCTGCATTTTAACAGGCTCCCCAGGTGGTTCACATGGGCATGCAAGTTTGAAAAGCCCTGGGCTAGATGAGTATTTCCCCCGGATGTGCACCACTGCGTTGGAAGCTTGGATCCACCCAGAGGGCCCTCAGAAGAAAGGCCTGGCAATCTGTTTCTGAAAGCTCACAGCCAGTGAAAACTCGGGCAGTTGTTTTACTCCCACACATACAGGGTCCCCATAAGCTAGAGTCAGTGCCACAACACTGCTTTCATGTGCTGCTTAGAGTGTTCATCTCTCAGAGGAATCCCAGGAGACCAACAGCCACCCAGGCCGTGAGCACCCCGTTCTACCACACAGCAGACGAGAGTGATGCTACCCCCATCCATTCTGTCAGAGGCCGAGAAAGGAGGAGGAGAGATGTTAGGGTCGCCTCGCAGTCTCCTCACTGCACAGCTTCTCCTTCCTCCTTGTTTTTGGATCACCCCAACTCTGGGTGGTCCACAGTGGAGCAGCTCAGGAGAGACAGTTGTCTTGCTTAACACACATTCATTGAGCTCTACGTGAGCTCTCAGCTCCATGCGGGGGGTTTGCTTAGTAGAATAAAGGAAAGTAGGATGGAATGGAGGAATAGAGGGAGAGAGGAAGGCAGGGAGGATGAGAGGGAGAGAAAGAGAGGAGGATGGGAAGGATGGAGAGAGGGAGAGAGACAGGAAGGATGGGAGGGAGGAGGGAAGAAAAAGCAGAGGGAGAAGACAGTGGGAGGGAACGGGTAGCAGGAGGGAGGGATGGAAGAAGGGAGAGGACGGTGGGAGGGAGGGAGGGATGGAGGGAGGGCAGCGAGGACAGTGGGAGGGAGCGGGTAGCAGGAGGGAGGGATGGAAGAAGGGAGAGGACGGTGGGAGGGAGGGAGGGATGGAGGGAGGGCGGCGAGGACAGTGGGAGGGAGAGGATAGTGGGGGGGGCCGAGAGGACAGTGGGAGGGAGGGATGGAGGGAGGGAATGAGGGAGAGGACAGTGTGAAGGAGGGAGGGCGAGAGGTTAAGTAGCCTTCCTGAAAAGTCTGAAAACTGCACAATGTCCTCAGACAGGTGCGTGGCATAAAACCCGTTCATCTCCAGGGGTACAGAGTAGATTGTCATAGTCCACCGGGAGTTGAGCTGATGACCCAAAGGCAGCGCCCCTCTGGCAGTTCGAATCCACCAATGGCTTAGTGGGGAAAAGCTGGGCAAGTCTCCAACCGTGTGATTTACAGCCTCCCGCAAACCTTCTAGAGGGTCAGCTAGGAGTCACTTCCAACAACGGCAGTGAGATTTGAGTGAGAATAAAATCTGTGGCTTCCAGGATGCCTGAGTGTGAGAATGCCAGGGGCACAGTTCCTTTCGAATGGACCTCAGAGCCCAGCAAGCCTTGCCATCGACAGCAGAGCATTATGCTTTATTTAATGGCACATGGACCTGTCTTACCAGAGATTCATACTCCGAAGTTTTTTGTGCACACATGTGATGGCAATGGACTCCAGTTCTGCCCTGTGTCACCATGCTGCCAAAGTGACTTCTGGCTCATGCTCACTAAGTCACCAGCAGTGATTAAATGGTGATCCGAAGGGCTCCACCTCTGATGGCTTGGACACCCTGTTAGAGACATTCTGTGGGAAGAAGGACTCGCTAAGGACGTGTGCGTGTGTGCGTGATTGGCTTGAGCTTATTTCTGAAAAGGTTTAACTACGAAGGCCTTTCCAAAACCCTTAACTAAGCACAGCACGACTGCGCTCGCGTGCCGTGTTGGTAACACACTGTTAGGACATGTTGAGGAGGCTACAGTTTATTATTCTGATTGCTTTTTACTTTCATGTGTATTGAAGATTTCTTACAAAAGAATGGGGAGCCAGCAGGCATCGTTTGTCCTTGATGTTCTGGGGTGCTGGGCAGTGGCTCGGAAGGAGCGGGACGGCAGCTCAGAGTGGGGTGAGGCGCTCGCTCTCCGTCACGAAGGCTTCGTTGACACACCCCTCCTTCGTGTCCAGGGACTCGCAGGGGATGCCGTTTTCAACTGCCATCACTGTGTTGCATTTGTCTTCGGCATCTTCTGCTTCGCAGGGCTCCTTGCTCTTCCTAAAAGCACACAGAGACAGGGCCTCGGGTTAAGGAGGGAACATCCCTGGGGTGGGACTTCCTACAGGAGGATGGCCTGAAGACCTGTAAATGTCAAAGATTGCAAAGGGCAGGCCAGGCCTAAGTGACCCTCCACTTCTGGTGATCCTCCACTGTGTTTCTGAGGCTGTAAATCTTTAGGGGAGGAGGTTCCCTATCTTCCTTTCTTGGTGAAGCTAGCTGGTGGATTCAAACTGCCAACTCTTTGGATTCACTATGCCACTAGGGCTCCTCTAGTACACTGCCTTCTTGGAAAAGTAAAAGAAAAATTCTTTCATTGTTTTACAATTCCTCCCCCCAGGTCCACTCCACTATACAGCCTTTGCTCTGGACTCCTGTCATGACAAAAATACCTAATAACCTATCCCTCTTAAACAGTTTTCTCCCTCATCTGTTTCAGTGCAGTATAAGGTAAATAATCCAATAGAAAAATGGGCACAGGATATGGACACTTCACCGAAGAAGACATTCAGATGGCTAACAAGCACATGAAGAAATGTTCAAGATCCCTAGCTCTAAGAGAGATGCAAATCAAAACAACTATGAGATATCGTTTCACCCCAGTAAGACTAGCAAAATTTAACAGAACAGCACGCAACACATGCTGGTGAGGTTGTGGAGAAACTGGAACCCTGATTCACTGTTGGCGGGAGTGTAAAATGGTGCAACCACTGTGGAAGGCGGTATGGCGCTTTCTCAAAAAGTTGCAAATAGAGATACCATTTGACCCAGCAATTCCACTACTAGGAATATACCCCAAAGAGACCATAACTGACATCCAAGCAGATATATACACATCCATGTTTATCGTGGCTTTGTTCACAATAGCAAGGAGTTGGAAACAACCTAAGTGCCCATCAACAAATGAATGGATAGAGAAGCTGTGGTATATTCACATAATGGAATACTATGCTGCATTGAAAAACAAGGAACTCATGCAATATTATTCAAAATGGGTGGCCCTGGAGGACATTATGCCAAGTGAAATATCTCAGTCACAAAAGGACAAATACTGCACAGTGCCACTGTTGTAAAACTAGGGCTCCTTTAAAAGACTCTGTTCAGGAAGCTCTGGTGGCCTAGTGGCAAGAAGCTGCACTGCAATCCTGAAGGCTCACAGTTCAAATCCACCAGATGCTCCTCTGGAGGCAATCCACAGGAGGGCAATCTCCTCCCGTGCCAGTCATACCCGATATGATGGTGCGCACAGGCGCGCACACAAATGCACACGCACAGACTTTGATGGCCTAAGTGGTAAGGAACTGTGCTGCCAACTCAAACGTATGCGGTTTGAGTCCATCAGCTGCTCCATTGGAGAAAGATGGGCAGTTACATCCCGTGGCTCCAACTCAGCAGTACCCAACAACAAGAAGAAGCTTCATGGATGATAATATACGTATTGATTCAAATAAGTGATGTTATTGTGACTTTGCTCTTGGATGGGTCCTGAGCCATTGCAGCCCCGGGGACAGCAGCAAGAAACCCTGCCCAGTGCCCACCAGTGCAGCTATTGTGCTGATTCTTACTGAGGACACTCAAATTCGTTTATGGAGTTCTGCTGGCATAGTCTGTAGGGAGTTGTGCTGTTATGGAAATCCAGTGAAGGGACAGCCATGAGTCTGTTCCGACTTGAGGGCAATTCATTTTGGGCTTGTAGAACTAATAGATATGTATATGAATGTATATGTCTGTAGACATACATATGCACATGGACATTCTCACACATAAAATTCAGGAAGAAGTGTTAAGAAAATGTATGGTAAATCAGTAAGTTAGAAAACGGAGCTCCAGGAGAACTTTGGGAGCTCTGGCGGCCTTGACCACTCTGGTAGTAAGAAACGGTGGTACAATCCCAATGCATATGGTTGGAATCCACCAGATTCTGTGCAGGAGGATGGGCGATCCCCTCCCATGTGCTTACAGCCTCTGAAAACCTGCGGGAAGGTCAGCTAGGAATCAGTTCTGACTTGATGGTACTCAACAACAACAATCGGAGAACTTTAATAAAAACTGGCGCTATTGAAGGACAGGGTTAGTCATGAGGCTTTCACACTTGGCAACATCCTCTTATCCCAGTAATCTATGAGAGTTCCAGAGGCAGCCTCTTCTCCTGACTGGGAAAATGGACGTTGCAGCAGTAACCAGGGTGCATGTGCAGCATGGTGGATGCCCTGGGCACCTTTCTGGGTTTCTGGTAGGTGGGAAGGTGGGAAGCTAGCCCTATGATGACTAGGATGAGGTTTCCCATTAGTCCTGTGTAAAAGCCAATTTCCATTTACTTTCCGAAATAATGGTGGCGGTGGGGGAGAAAACAGAGGGCTCTGCTTTACAAAAGAATTCTAACCAATATAACAGGACTAACAGAAATAGGAAGTGACCACTACAACAATAGTTGATTCATAAAAGGAACTAAAGCACTTAGTTAGAGATGCCGGAAGAACAGGGTGTTAGCACGGTCTCTGAAGTATCATGGTCTCAGAAGTATCACTCCAGCTATCATTGTATGAACCTTTTACCAAAGGAAAAATCTGGTGAACCCCAGTAATGAGAAAAACTGACAAGTGCCTTAGATATGACGCACTGGATTGGACACACACACAGAGAATAGAATTATACACAAATACATCCACATATATGCAGTATATACTGTGAGGAAAATGTGTGTGTGTGTGTGTGTGTGTATGTGTGTGTGTGTGTGTGTGTGTTCGCATGCATGCGCCGGTTCTTTCTATCACATCTGACCTGGACACACCACAGAATATGCACTCCACTAATGTGTTCTGGGGTGGATAGACATGGCAGATGGACAGATGGATGAAAAAAGAATAGGATGATGACTGTCAATCAATGGTGAGCTGCTTAAATGATAAATTAAGAGGCAGATGGTCAGCTGGATGGATAGAGGATGGATGTGTAACTGAACAAAGAAATGGATGAACAGATCAATGGGGTGAACTAAGGATGTAGGCAGAGTTATTCCAACAGTAGCGTCAGGTCGGTCTGGAAGGGGACCCCTCACTGAGTTGCTGTTTTGTGGGTACACAGGAGCTCCTTGTTCTTAGGAGATTCTATCATGTTGTTCTTAGGAGAAGTTGGCATGATATCTTTGATAAGCTAATGGTTTAGAGGGCGACACACAGTATAACTGTGACGGAATGGTCAGTGTTTGGTGTGCGTGCATTGTTCTCGTCTTGCTATTTATGAATCTGAAGTTTGGCTGTTATTCCAACTAAGTTGCAGGGAGACTCTTTTAAAGCACTAAACACTGAAAATACAGTGGTCCTTGCTCCATGTGCAATTCAAAGGTTATTTAAAACTAAGCCAAGGAAGAGCGGGATGGCGCAGGAAGAGAGGCAGAAAATCAACGCAGGCTGGTGCCATTTCCTGTACCTCTTAACCCCACCCCCCAACAACAAAACAAAGGTGAAAAAGAAGCCATTCCTCTGCCAGCAAATCAGGTATTTCGATTAACTAGGAAATACACCGAGGGAGGAGGTTGAAGAGTCAGAGTTTGATCTTTATGAAACTCCATACTCAAAAGTGTAAGCCCCAAACTTAGATGATCAGTTACTAGCCAGTGACTCGATTGAAATACCATCATTAGCATCCAAAGTGAAAGCGAAGCATGTGCCTGTTTTGAGAGGGATAGGACTTAGGCTACAGGAGAGGACCGGATATACACAAAGTCACACAGACGTTCATGCATCTTGAGTGCCTCAGTGGGAACTGGTGGGGGGAAAAAGATGCAGACAGTGCATGGGGCCCTAGCACCTTCCAGAAGGGAATGTACACTACTCGAACTAGACAGGAGAGAGTTGCAGATAAGGATTGTACACATAAAGGGGAAAAGCCCAAATGTCTGTCACTGTCCCAAAGGGTACTCTAGCTATCTAATAACTCTTTAATGACTGACAAAGCAGCACAATGGCAAGTTCAATGTGATGAGAGGGCCTTCTCAGCTAGACTAAATCAGCCCCAGGGAGGGCCAGGACGACCGTCCTCGTTCCATGCCCTTGTTTGAAATGATGGCTGACGTTCTGTAACACCCGACCACATCACTTCAGTTCCTAGTACCCAGCATACATTCAGCACCTATGCTGAAAGAAGTACAACCCCTTTCCTAAAATGAAAGAAAAGCGCTCTATGAAGACTCCAAATTTGACTCCCCCCCGCCCCGTCTCTCTCTATTTGTCATGGACAGTAAGAAAGAGGAGTGATGCTTCAATATTTCTAAACTATCAGCCAAAAGGAAAACGTCCAGCTAAAGTAACAAACTGTGGCTGACTCTGAGGAGAATGGGAATCCCAGAACACTTGATCGTGCTTATTCAAAACCCATACTTGAACCAGGAGGCAGTCGTCAGAACAGAGCAAGGAAATGCTGTATGGTTCAAAATTGGGAAGGGTGTACATCAGGGATGTGTCCTGTCTCCATATCTTTTCATTCTATATGCAGAACAAATTATCTGGGAGGCTGGGCTGGGAGGAGAAATGTGGCATCAAGATTGGAGAAAGACTCACCAACAATCTGCGTTATGCAGATGACACAACCCTGCTTCCTGAAACTGAGGAGGACCTGAAGAACTTGCTGCAGAAGGTCAAGGACTGCAGCCTTCAATATGGATTGAAGCTCAACATCAAGAAAGCAGATTCTCACCACTGGGCCGATTGGAAGCATCATGATAGATGGTGACAAGATTGAGTTGTTAGCAGCTTCAGTTTGCTTGGCTCCACAATCAACAGTATTCATATCAGCAGCCCAGAAATTAAAAGACAAATTGCATTGGGAAAATCTGCTATCAGAGACCTCTCCAAGGTACTGAAGAGTAATGATGTCAGTCTAGAGACTAAGGTGTACCTGATCCAGGCCGTGGTCTTGGCAATTATTTGTTATGCATCAGAGAGCTGGACAATGACAAAAGATGATAGAGGAAGAATTGATGCCTTTGAGCTATGGTGCTG